CTCACCACCCTCTGGGCCCAGCTGTTCAGACAGCTGTCAGTTCACCTCATTGTCTGCTCCTCTCTGAGCATCTTAAAGAAGAGTGTGTCAAAGGCCTCGCTGAAGTCCAGGTATACAACATCCACTGCCCTCTCCACTGCCTACCAGGCCAGTCATCAAATTCATGTTTTGGTTTGGGCTTCCGCTCAGTCTCTTGGTTTTTTGGTAGCATGAATTTCTCTTTTCTTATTTTCAGAAAGTTTTCTGGGCCCAGAAACAGGAACTCAATCCCCAGTGTGCAGTGATACACACCACAGCAACAGAAACGTTATCTCATACATAGGAATATTTATTTTTTTTCCTTCTTAAAAATGTACAAAAAATAAAATAACTGTATTTACAGTTTATCAAACCCCTCTCCCAGTTGCAACACTATTAAGTTACATAAGCTATTTTCTTAATATAAAAGCATACTATTTATACATAAAGGTTCCTTGTTTGCCAGAAAGACGGCTTGTCACAAACTTTGGCACAAACATTCCTGTTTGTATCTTGTCTCAATTCATAGGAAATGGAAGAGCATATAAAACATTCCATAAGCTTTACATTTTAAAAGTCCTAAGATATTCCTTTCCAGTTCTATATCAATCAATATACAGTATGTGTGACAGCTGGAAAGTTTAGTTTTTACTAATTGTTTGAATTAATTTACAGCATTTAAACAATCCATAGACTGAAAGAAGAGAATATACAAGAAAGACACTTGATCTCTGAATTCCACTGACCAAAAAAAAAACTTCATGAGAAAGAACACATGGGGGGTGAGGAAAAAAAAAACACAGTTATTTTCTTTGTAGTTTACATTCAGTGATAAAAATAACCCAAAATGCCTTGATGGAGATATCACCATACATCAACAAAGCTTCAACAAGCTTCAAAAGTGCAAGGAGATGCACTTTGTTTGGGGGATATCAGCACCTGACCGTGTAGAAATAAACTGAAATTTGAGATTTGGGGGCTTCATAATAAAGCATCATAATTATGTCATAATAAATGGATGGACACAGTGTCAAAGCTGTAGCAGCAACCAAAATTAGAGCTTAGAAGACTATTCTACTTTTCGCTCGTCTCTCTCCCAGTCTCTCACAACACACCACCTACGGACACTGCGCTGCTCCAGTTCTTCACAGGGAAAAGGAGCTGAGCAGCACATCACCCTTCTGGCTGCACTAGTTAAGATTCTAGACTGCTGTCTTGAAGAAGGAAAATAAATGAGAGTTTTGTTCCTTTAAATAAACAACCACAGCAGTGCCACAAAGAGACAAAAGGAGGGAAGGCAGATATTCCTGTCCCCTGCTGA